ACTTTCTCACATGTCATAATCTTCAGTTTTGAAGCACCTCACCCTCTTCAAAGCGTGAGAGGGTGCAGAGAAACAGTGGAAGACGTAGGGCCCGCTTCTGACCTCAGGAACAGTTTGGGTTTGTTTCACTGTAATTCTGTCAACTTCAGTACAGTTACTTTGCGCTTACTCCATGTTGCATAGGGTGGGGTCTGCGCTGTGTTCTCCTGCCGGGAAGCGTTTACGATCTAAATTCCCAGCTATATGTAGGTTAAAATCTTAGACACGTTGGTTTTGTACTGCTTTCCTTCCCCATACGGGTGCAAGAAGGAACTGTGTTACAACACTTGAATGCTTTAGCACTACATGAGGTTCCTGTGTACGACCCCGTTTCTGAAACTAGGCTTTAATAATGTCACCTCAGGTGGCGATAACATAGGTGGCGGCTTTTTTACGTGCCTGTCTTCTCCTTGATTTGCCCGTCTGCCCCTGCCATGCTGCCCCCGTCCCTGGAAAGATCCAGACCGTTACCACAGGGTGCATCAGCAGGGAAAAGGGACAAGGTGTTCCCCACGCAGAGTTAGCTGTCCTGTTGTACGTGCCAGTGGTTTGCAGGAAGCTATGGATGTGCATCGTCAGGCCGTGCCTGGACTACAGACTTGGCCGAGAAGTTGTATCAGCTTTGGCGGGATTTGTCCGTAGGCAGAGCATGGCTTGGCTTGTGGGATCTTGAAGGAGCATCTTCAACGGGCCTGGCCTCGCCTTTGCCAGTGTAGTGCCCTAACTTCTCTTCTGGAACGTTCACTGTTTGTCTGCTGTGTCAGGCTTCCCTGACTTGCTGTCCCTTTGTTTCTTTTTAATTGCTCTGTAAGTCTGATTCAAGTAATTTATTTTTAGTTGTGCGATGAAAGACTGTTGCTCAAGGAAGGAGAGGAGGAAAACCTCCTTTCTGAGGAGTGACCCAGGGAGGACGTTCCTCATAGTGCTCGTGCCAGACCAGGGCAGAACTCGCTCACCTTCCTCCAAGGATGTTGTTTTACTTCTGTGCTCTGCAAAAGTCACAGTCTCCCTTCAGTTGAAGGGAAGATTGGGAGATCTGCTAGAAGTGGATGTAATTTATGAGTCACAGAGAACCAAAAAAGTGGTGGTATGTTTTAAAGGCTTTCTGAGTCAATACAGTGCTGCTGCTACACGTTAGAAGTAGTATTTTATATTTTTATAATATTTGGTCCCTGCTGACGTTCTCCCAGGGGTGTGCTGACAGGATTAGCTCCTCCGATGTTGTCCGGGGGTGGGGTGTCCCTTTCAGAAACCCTCAGGCCTCAGAGGAGGAGGTGGGTGCTGGGCCCTGGAGGGAGCTGGCACTATCGCTGCCATCAGTTTACGTTTAGCGAGAGAACCCTGGTGCGGGCTGCGCAGCCTCCAGTGCAAACCCCCAGAGGCCGGGCTCTGGTCAGGAGAAAGGACCTCGTGCTGTAACCTGCCTGATGTCTCCCCCAGTTTCCTCTGTGGACTGTTACAGATGGGCGCAGATCTGGGGACGTATCTCCTGCCCTGTGTAGACCCCTCGGTGGAGTGGCTTTTCTGTACTGGCTGGCAAAGGATGCATCCTCCCGCACCCGTCCTGTTAACTGGCTGTTGAAGTAAGTGCCTGTGTCAAAGCAACCTGCTGTGCTCGACCCCCATATCCCCGTGTCTTGTACATGCTGAAAAAACCCCTCTCTTTAGGAATATTTTTGTTAAGAATGCAATAAATAACGTAACACTTTTAACACAGCTGCTGTTGAGTCTTTTGTTTCTCTTGTATCATTTTTTGCCCGAATGGGTGCCGCGCCTGTCGCAGATGTGGGGTCTCCTGGAGGCACTTGACAGGGGAGAGCTGAGGTGGGGGTTGGGGGTACGGCACCCTGCGACCCCTGCTGGAGCTGGAGGCAGTGCAGGATCTTCTGGCTCTGTGCAAACCTTCCTTTGGGAAGGGCAAACCAAAGGGTGAGTGATGGAGGGGCTAGCAGGCGGTGGGGAGGCACGGGGCAAATCCTGGAGGGGG